TTTATTTTTGCGCTCGAAATCTGGCTGTAAAGACGCACAGTGAAGTCACTCCTTTTTACCGCCATTTTGAGCTTTCGGAAACGTTCGGAACAGCTTCTGATCAAGTTCGTAATACTATTACAGGTAAGGTCGACGCATGCGCAGACGTTTTTCCGCGGTGTTGGCAATACCAGTTATGCGACCACGAAAAATGCGCGCGGCACTTTTTTTGGACACTGAAGATGACAACAATTGATGTTGTTATATATTGCCATCCTTTTATCATAGTATAACTTAATTTATTTTAGTGAGTTTGTTAAAGAATTGTGCTCACTATATGCATGTGTAGTATCTAAGATTTTTTCTGTTTTCTTTTATTTTTAGGGGATAGTATCTGTTCACATGTGTGTTGGTATCAAATTTTGCACAAGATTAAATTATTATTTCATATTCCTTTATTGAAATATCCAAATAAATGTAATGTGTCATCAAGTGGAGGACTAAATACTGTTTCCAAACTTGTTTTTGTAAAAATAGAAAATAACAACTTACTATGTGTTGTTCTAATAAAAACTATGATTTTTGATATGCATATTTAATTTTTGAAATTACATTTTATTCTTTGTTAAAATGTGTACCAGGAATACTGAAATCTTTCAGATCAGCTAACAATACCTTTGCAACTTATATAGCCAAGCGTTCTATCTATTTCCGTTCAGATTAAACAAATGATGGGTAAAATATTAGATTAGATTTTTGCAAAAAAATGAGCTTGCCTGTTTTCAAAGCATAAAAAGCAATAAAATAAAGCAAAAGTACTTATTTTCAATTTAAAACCTTTGGAATGCATAGCTTAACGTTTTCTTCTAAATATTACAAAGTTTTAGTTCATTAAAATGTTGTTTTATCAGCTTTCAAAACCAGATAAATTCAAGAACACTCTTAATATATGTCGCCATATTGATTTTCTTCGCGCATGCTCAGACAAATTGCCCACCTGTTCTATAGGGATACGTACATGATCTGACCGCGCGTAAACAATGCAGTCGGGGACTAAGTAGTAGTATGATTTTATTGAACAGAAATTAATTAATAACACTGATTGTTGGGCTACCTATGCTGACAACGACAGGTTCATGTTCAGATCCGATCAAAAACATATAAAAATGAATCTGTTTTGATTTAATTAACGTTTTTCTACTAAAAGGGCAATGAAAAAGGTTTGTTATTTTTATATTTTTTCTTGTCGTCTCACGATAATATATGCTTGAAAAAAGTGTTTTTAAACACAAACTTTTACTTTGTTTACAATATTTATATATCAGTAAAAAATGCATGACACAAATGAGTAGAGAATATGTTCTGCAGTTAAACCTTCTTTTAAAAAGGAAAACATTTATTTTACAATATCTGTTTAAGCTGTAATTTTTTCGCTTTTAAGTGGCCGAATACATGAGTATTTAAAAAATATATAGTTTTCTCGACGTAAGTTTTATACATGTCAAATACTTTCCGACTTTCAGTCGCATTTCTATCAAAATATTGTCAATTCTCGTGAACATCGTGCTTAGTATGAAGCCTTTAGGGCTTGATGCAATTCATTTGCGTATTCTGACTATCGTTAGGCTATGTTTTTCAAACGTTTTTTGCAGATTTTTTCGTTTAAAAATTGTTCCACTGGCTCCCGGCGTTACGTCAGAAAATAAAGCTCCTTGATTCGCTGGGAAATTTCAGCCAGCCAATCAGAGAGTTTTTTGAAATTTTAAAAATGTTCAGCAAATCAGATAGCTTCATTTTGTGACGTAACGCAGGGAGCCATCATCCCGCATAGTTTTGATCAAATTGAGTTTTCCACGGAATTTTCGCAAAATCAACTCGTTTTAAAGTGATGAGAAAACAAAAAAACACAATGTAGAAGTATTAAAGTTATGTCCTACCATAGAAAGTTAGTTTTTTTAATGAATTTCGATGTTTATGTACGAGCTTTTTCGTCATTAAGTTTTTGTATACAGTTTTAAATTTGTATTTTCTTGCCAACCTTGGGGATATATATTACATAATGACGTAGCCAGCAGAGCTTTGGCCGTATTTCCGGGGGAGCTTGAGGTCCGCAGCGCTATTGTGATGTTACACGTACTTCATGTAATACAAATTATAGAGGTTTTATTGTAGATTGAAGCATTGCATGTCAAAGCATTGCATTTTAAAGCAAATTGCATGGATTTTTTTAAAAGATAAAAACCTTTTCTGGAGTCCTATGTTTGGAACTAGAAAGACATAACTGCCGATGATAGCAGTTGCTGAGCTCCAGACAGTATTTATTGATGTTTCCCACGTAGTCCCCTGCCGGTACAAAATACCTTTACATAACAAAGGAAAATCATTATTTTTTCGCTCTGATAAGCATCGATACTTTGAAGTTTGATATAACGAAATCTGACTTTATAATGTAAAGAAACACACATTACACCATAATGTTAATGAATAAATTATTTTAGACTTTTGTCCACTTTGCCGCCTAAGCATGACCGCTTTGACGTAACTTAATTGAAATTAAACCACCGTGCAATATATAGAAGTATTTAAAAAAAATAACATAACGTGTACGTTTCCTTGCAGTCCTAACCTACATGTGAACCCAAGAATTTTAGTCTTTGCTATAATATTTGTGAGCCGAATTATAGCCTGTGGTCAGTGCTCTGCGATCGACTTTAGCCATAGTCTATAGGAAATGATGGTCTGGAATCCTGCCAAATTTCAAAGCTACAAAAGAGAAGGCCTTAGTTTGATGTTGAACTGTACCTCGCCGTGCACAAATCCTTTGTCTCAACTTCATTAAGTTAAATATATTAATATCCAAATAATCAATATCCAATTGACATCAGAAAAGCCTTCGATTCCATTCATCACAAAATTATATAAAGGATTCGAGACCTACAATAAATTACCAATATGATTTCAATCTCACTTAACAAAAAGAAGCCAATGCATGGGACCCCTCCTGTTGTTGTTGTATATTAATGATTTTCCACAATACCTACAAAACACAACCCCAGCTTTATGTTCCGTGATGCATGATACTCAAATATATGCATCCTATAATTGAGTTTTACAGACCTGGTGACACACTCTGTCAAAATAAATGACAACATGCATCATGTGTAGCGTGGCTAAACAAAAATTGTAACAAAATAAAATAAAAAATTCAATAGGTTCCCAATTATCTAATCAATGATCTATTTATTTACTTAACTTCAGATATTTCCACCACTCTTTCGTCACAGGTTTGAATTTGACTGTGCCCAAAAGAAATTGAGATATTTGCAAGCAGTGTAATTTTGCCAAATTTCAGAAAATAATTATTAAGAGCATTTGCAATCTAAGCCTTGTCAGATAAAAGTTCCCTATCTTTATAACACCAGGGGATTCCCTAAGATTTCTCATTGATAATGTCTTTTTTCAGCGAATTCTGAAAGACCTTTGATTAGTTTTATTCAATTCAATTAACTTTGAATAATAGGAACTTCGAGCCTTCAGACATTAACTTTATTCCTACACTCCATAAATTTCGGTCCGTGATGAAAATCTGAAAATAGTCCCCTTTATTCGTTAGTTCATGAATCTTATTGGTCTGGCCCGTCACAACATGTGGAATAAATTATTCGATGACGTCGCCGATGCACATTCACCAATATAAAAGCGGCGCATATAAGTGGAGGGCGTATAATTGAGAAAAAACCCTGGATTTCTTTCAAAATAAGGGAAGCCATGCGAGACCGAGACAATCACAATTTCAAAGCTATTAAATCAAATTTTAATTACTTTTGCTGCGGAATTAAGTTAACCGTGAAATCAGCAAAATCGAGATACTATACAGGTGCGTCTCAAAAAATAGAATATTATCTGGCCATTTAAACCAGTCTTCGCACATGTTTGTATTGTGGTATATGATGTCAAGACAAAACCATTATAAATATTTTAGTTTTACATGTAATGATTTGTTCAAAGAATTTTTTTCAAAGACATTCGAATTTTTCGAGATGCACCAGTATATAAATATGATTGAAAAAAAGTGATGAAAAATCGATATGGAAAGGATGGAACCGCTTGCAACACGAAATGTTCGACACCAAGTTCAAAACAGATCTCATCAACTACAAATATTTCCTTATTAACTACAAATATTTCCACACAATATTCAAAGTGTTAATTTTAAGTTCAAAAAGCTACTACTAAATTTAATTGTTAAAATTGAGATTTCAGTTTGATTGAGGTTTCAGTAAAATTGAAGTTTCCACCTCAGAGTGGTGCAGACATGTAGAGCACAGCGCCATTGGAAGCCGCTGTCATAGTCGATAACCATCCCGCTCCTTTATCTTTCTCCTCAGAAGCGAAGACCCCTTTCAAATTTCCTTTCTCATCGAACACTTGAATCGAGCCATAAGTAAAATCAGCGACCCAGATATGATCCCAGTGATCAACAGCTAAGCTAATTGGTGCCCAGAATTGACCTCTACCTTCTCCTGGTTCGCCAAACTTCTGCAAAACCTGACCATCTCGGCTGAAGATCTTTACACATTCAACTGCATTCGCTGCATCAAAACCACCAGGGGGCACTGGCAAAGGGCGGTAATTTGAAAACCACAACGAAGACTCGGCAACGATAATCTGACCTTGGCTGTTGAACTGAATGGAAACAGGAAATATCGTTTCGCCATCCTGCTCGTCACCAAATGAACACTTGAACGAGGTATCTGGATTGAATAACTGAATACGATAATTTCCTGCATCACATACAGCAATATTATCGTACGAATCAGCCGTTACGCCAAGAGGGGTTTTCAATTCTCCATGACCTTTACCTTCACTACCAATTTCATGAAGAAAAGTTCCGTCTGTGTTGAACACGAACAACTTATGGCTGCTAGTATCCGATACAATGATCCGACCTTCACTATTGATTGTAAAATTCCACGGTTTCTTCGTCATATCGAGTAGATCAATGGTGTGCAAAGGATTAAAATCAGCATCAAATACACGAATAACGCCTTCGTCGAGGACATACATGTTGCCACCTGAGTCGGGCCGCACACATAAGGAATTCAAGATCCCCTCCAATAAATTCGTTGGTAATTTTTGAAGGAGGGTTGTACCAGTTGAATAATCAGGTTCGCCCTTGATCTCCAAGGTGCGTGGACTTCCTCGCAGAGAGTTTCCCTCGACTTGAACAGCCAGGCGATGACGTCCTGGAATGTAGCTGGTGAAATGCACTGAGATTGAGCCATCGTCGCGTAGTTGCAGCTTCGCTTTGATCACCGTCTGCTTTGGAGTAAGCACTTTAGCTTGGAACAATTTAAGATCTGGAGAAGATGGTGGCCCTCTACGCCGGTTGCTTGACTGAATGATAACCTCGACATCTTTACCAACATCAAACACCTATACAGCAAAACAAAAAGATGGTTTGGCAATTTTTCCCCTTGCTTTGGGTAAACGGACTTAAGCTATTCCCTTGGAAGAGTAAGCAATATGAGTCCGAAATGTCTGTAAGTTGGTCACGAAGACGCTAATCATGCAGTTAATTTTATTGTTGTTGTTTTTCAAACAATTAGGCCTGTTTCATACGTCGCACTATAGTCGAATTTATTCGTGGTTTTTATTTCTGTATCATCCATTTTATTTCTGTATCATTCGTCGTTTGATACGAAGCCATTTTAAAGTCGACCAATTCATTAATTTAATAACGAATTAAATTCGGTTGGTTTTTCAAAGCACAATTAGGGCCAACCCAGCATTTTTGCCCGTCCGTTTATTAAAAAAAACCCACAGAGACTTCTATTGATCGAGACAAGATTTCTGGAGAATGATATATAAAGCTTCTTTTGGAACAACAGGTCCCAGAACTTTATCTGTTGCAAGATAGACTGTTTGCAAGCGCCATCTTGGACATTTTTAGACCTAACAAGGCGCACCTATACGAAAAATTCAACTATAGGCACTTTGGGAGGAATCGGAGCGGCTCTGCGATTCCAGTGCAACGCTCTATAACCAACTGAGCTTTAACCTGGCCTAACCAGATTCTGGACTCGACAACTGGACTCTGTAGCTCAGTTGGATATACCACTGCACCGGAATTACTACAGGGACGCAGGTTCGACTCCTTGCCCGAGGGTATCTTGCGTAGCAGGCGTTTATAAGCTAGAGGGAGTTGAACTTTTGGTAGCTGCGCCCGGTTATCTCTACAACGAATAAAATTTACAGAAAGGCCTTCAGCTATTAGTTCTCTCGAGTGAGATGCCCACAATCCTGACATTTGAAACAATATAATAATACAATGAATTCAACATGTACAGATTTCCTAAAAATGTTATCGACCGAATCAACGGACAACTTTCGAGTTACTTGTCTATGAGTCCAGCACCTAACAAATGACAGGTTGACTGATTGATTGTGTGAGTTGTTTGATGGCTGGCCGGCCGGCCATTTATGACGGGTTGGTTTGTTTGTTGTTGCAGTGGCAGGTCTCGAAATAAATATGGAAGGTATACCGGTCGTCATTATGAGTGGTGGATTATTAAATTTACTGGTCGCAACGGCTTTTTTCCCCCATCATCTTTTTCTAGTCTTTTGCGTCTACTTTAAGTGTTTGGCTAGTTTGTGTTTTGGCTAGTTGGTTGCATCGCATGAATGGTTGGCTTGCTAATTATCAGCCGATATCGGTCTGTTCTGCATCTCGCACGTTCATTTCCTGATTCGTTCGTTGGCTGCTTGTCAGAGAGATAAATGATCAGCCAGTCAACCATAAATATGACCCAGCCAACAAGTTCGGTTAATCACAAACCATCTAAACTAATCCAACTACTGATGCAATCAACCAATCAACACCCAACCACTGATGCAACCAACCTCAACCAACAATCCATTTATCCATAACAGCAAATCAGCGGGCAAATGTATATTGCAGACAATAAACCACCACCCTGGCAACCAGCCAGTAATTGAATGGTGATTCACGAACCATCAAATCTGTACAGCCAACCAGCTGCCAAATCAACCACAAATAACTGATCAAGCAACAAACCAGCCTGCCAAGCAACACAACAGTCAAACAAATAGCAAAAAAAATTGTAAATTATTATATATTATTATATGGCATATACTTCTGATTAAATGGCGGACTGTGATCGGCTGAGAAGCACTTTCAGCCGTCATTATTTTCCCGTAATGGACCGGCGGTCCACGGTCCATTACCTAAAAACAAACACAATCATGCTTTTTAAAACCAAACAGCAAAACTAATTGAAAATTTGAAAATTATAATTTAATTTGTTGTTTATAAGTAATCTGCTAATTGGTTTTTAGTGGAAAAGAAGGAATACATTGGTATTTTTTTGTTTTCTTCGACCAAATGGGGACCATGCTACTAATATGCATTTCAAACCATGCATTTCTATGAGGTGTGATATCCGCCAAAATTCATATATTCAATTATGCCATTGGAAATGCATTTATGAAGTTCAGTTATGCTATTATGATATTCGATATTA